TCCACCACTGGATGAAATGCATTAGCACATCATCAGTGTGGTTCCAGCTGATGATGTTTAAATGAAGCTTCCTGGAAAATTTGATCACCTGCTTTACAAACTTAGAGCGTGATGAGTCTTATACCATTTAAATACAGGGCAGACTTTGGGGTCTAGGTAAAAATGTATTTGGTGACCTTGACTAAAATGCATCAGGAGATGCAATTACAAGCTTCCCAATGCCAGAAATTATGCCACTGTTTTAGATTAAATTTAGATATACAGTACAAAACACATTTCAGAGAAACTTTTACATAATTTTTAGTATGTGAATTATCATGCAAACCTTTTATGCTTTTTAGACCTATTAGTAGAGAAACTATGGAAAACTTCACTGAAAATCATCCAAAATAACCTCTGTAAAATGCATATGTAGCATATTCTCCGGAAGACAGAGTATCAACAAGAAGTGCAATGTTCCATCAGCAACACAACTGACAGTTCAGAATATGTTCTTCTCTTGTTCTAGGATTGCATCTATATGTTCGGTGGAAAGCTGGAGACAGGCCCTGCTAACATCACAGACGAGTTGTGGTTGTTCAACATCCCCACTCGTAGCTGGTTGCCACAGAAACCAGCTTCAGCACCTCTTTACGCCCTGGAGGGCCACACTGCTCACGTGGTGATCCTGCCCAACGGCGACCCGGTGATGTTGGTCTTCTTTGGGTACTCGCCCATCTACAGCTACTCCAATAAAGTTCAGGAGTACAACATCAGTAAGTCAATTTTATTTGTAGGCTTTATGATCGTCTGTGAGTTTCCAAAAAACTGCTATAAAAATTTGAGGTATTATTCCTATAACACATTTAAGCAACAAAGCAATTCAAGGTGCACCTGTTGAATCTGGTATTGTTTTCTTTTCCTTCATCTCCATTGTAAATAGTGTTTTGTAATGCCATCTTAGCATAGCATTTTTACATTTGAGTTGGATTCAAGTTTTTCCCTTTATGGAACAGTTTGATTATTGACAAATTACTGAGGAATGCTTATATTTAGCTGTTGATGTTTATGTTTGTATCTTTGGTACCTCTTTTTTTATCTTATTGTTTCAGCATTTCTTATTTTCACTTTCATACTTTTTCTTTTTTCTGTCCTGGCTCTTTGGCATCCTTCTTACTTCTTACTTCAATTGTTCAGTCATGAACAATTGACTAAACAAGCACACATGTCATCAGAATACTTAAATCAGGGGAAATCACCTGTCTCTCATTTGCTTTTCTTACTTCTTGGGGAATAAGGTAACTTATCTTGGGGAAAAGATGTTCTTAGGACTTGCATCAGCTCCATACATACACATACATGAGACACCTGTACAAGAATATCTGTTAAACTACATATTAAACCAACTAAATATTGTTGTGTGCAATAATCATCCACAGGACAGTCCTTTTTATTTATCTCTGATAAAGCATCTGCTAAACTGAGTTGTTTGTCAGATCTGAGCCAGTAGATGGCAGTGTTGCAGTGTTGACATCAAGCAGCTGAAATCAGAAGAAGACACACATGCTCCCTTCTCAAAACACACAGAAAATTTGTAACTTCTGTACAAATGGGAGACTTTATTTTAGTGCATTCATCCCCAACCATTAGTAGTCTAATCCTAACTTTAACCAAAACTTAACTCGCTTTATACCTCTTAACTTAACTTTTACAGCAGAGCTGCAAAAAAGTTAGGACAGGGAAAATGTCCTTAATTTCTGCAAATTATTTCCCTTTGTTGGTGAATATGTGAATGTGGTCCTCTATATGCAGGATTTACAAGTACACACACACACGCACGCACGCACGCACGCGCGCGCACACACACACACACACACACACACATATACACAAAAACACAGAGCCAAACAATGACTCACACACAATGATGCACAGTGAGAGTGGTGATTAAGAGGAGGTGGCACCCAGGCCAGAGAGAGGAAAGTGACTAATGAATCCACTGCCTTCCTCCTCTCCCCCACCTTCCCATTTTTCTCCTCTTTTCATATTCCTCTTTCCAAACATTCTCCTCCACCGCTCACATCCTCTCAGTTTTGTTCTGCATCTTTTTCCTTTTTTATCTGCCAACCTCGACCTCAAACAGCTTCACTAATCACTCTTGGTTGGTCCTCATCATCTTTCTCTCCACTCCCTTCAGTATTTCATTCACATCTGTCTGTCACTTTCATGTGTTGCTACATCTGTCGCTGGCCGCCCTTCTCTTTCTCTGACATTGTCATAGTCCGTATGGACCATCATTAGACCTCAGAGGGAGTGACGAAGGGTCAGCCTGCAGGAGAACGAGGGGGAGTAGAAACGGAGTGTAAAATACAAGGTAGCAGGATTTAATGACCACAACAAGAAGCCGGTTTACACCAATTAGGTGCCAGAGATGAGATATAAGTTGACCTTCTACTTCCTCAACATCTGTTCTCTGTGGTCAATGTTTCACCTGTTCTTTCTTGCTCTTTTTACATTTTCTTCATCTTTTGCACCTTCACCCCTCCCTACCCCATCTCAATAAATCATAGAAACACCTTTACTGTAGTTACAGCTGCAAGGGATTTGGTGTATGTCTCTAAAATCTTTGGACATGTGAAGACTGAATTTTTTGTTGCAGCACAAGCTCAGGTGGAACAGAAGGCATCTCTGAGCATCAGTTTTCAAGTCTTGCATACATCATCGGTTGGATTTATGTCTGGACTTTGACTGGGCCATTGTAACACATTTGATCTGAACCATTCCATTATAGCTCTGCTGTTGTCCTGCTGGAAGCTAAATCTCCACCCCACTAGCTGCGTCTCCATTGCAAATGTGTACAAATCTTTTTCAATATTCCCGTTAATGTAACCCCCCGCCCCCACTATTTTGCTATTAAAGTATTTTTATGAAATACGAAATGCAATTAAAGTCATATGTGAACAAGCTTGTTCATATAATAAGTCATAAATTATGGGGTGACAGATATAAACATGCTATGTGTTTCAACCTAATGCTGATTTATCAGCCATCAAGGAGACGTTGGAATTTTATTCAGGCATTGGAATAACAAATCCCTTATACTTGAGAACAGTTACGTTTTGGGGAAATTGCAGTCAGCGATTTCACTTTTGAATGACAAACTCCACTTTTGATGAACTTTGTGGTGCAGTAAGGCCTCTAGTGGAGCCAGCTGCGCATTGTACAAGAATGCCAGTGCCTACAAATAAGCTGCTGCATACTAACTGCCATGACTGTAGCCTGGGCACCTATTTCCCATAAAGTTCATTTTGATTCTCATTTCCCTTGAGGCCTCAGTCTGGGTATTCTCCCATTCTCCCATCCTCTGGTAGAATTTCCTCAGGGTCAATCAGAAAACAGAAGGACAAGTTGTGAATGATAATGTTGATTTTCTGGCTGTTTTAGAGATGTGTTCTGCCAGTAGTTTACCATTGGTTAAAAAAACAGTAATTCAGGGCACGTTTCCAAATACTGACCAATTAAATTAGGAGCAATTAGAATGATTACGACATTTTATTTTTAGCAAAGATGCCCTTTGGCTTGGCACTTCTCTCTTCACAGTAGAGGATGGTTGTGTATAGCTCAGGCAATTTTTTTGGTTCTGTACAAATGTTAGCAACTAGGTAAAATTTAACTTCAACAGAGTCTATATCTCTAGCAAGCAATCGTTTCTCAACAGACAAGACAAAGCATAGAACAATGGTCTAGTAAAAACCAGGCTAGAGTGACTGGCGTGATGCGAAAAAGAAATGTTTCCATTTTAATTTTGCGAAACACATCAATTTTGGTACAACTGAAAAACCACCTCATCCTAGCACAAAAATTTCTTTTGAAAACCGTAATTATTTTTGCCTAAAATTGCTGCGATTTTATTTAGCAAATTTATTTTCATAAATCCAATTTGCACAATTTCTCAATGGAAAAGCAGCTATGTTAAGTCTTTCCTACTGAATAAAATCCTCCCCAAGCATGATGTTAGGGCTGTATAATTTTATTGATTCTACAATATTTTTTTTCCTCAGAAAGTATCAATTTTTCATCTGCAAGTATTGATACATTAAATTAAATTTTATGTCAAATCCATATGAATTAAATGACAGCTATCACACATGACATTTTATACCCAGTTGCACATGTACATTAAAAATCACTTAATGAAACAACCAGTTACAATTAATTAAATAATAAAATAGATAAATTACATTATCTAATATAAGTGAATAAGACAAAAAAAGTAAATTTTCTGAATAACCCCAAAGCCGCAAACCACAAAGCCACACAATTAACATTTAAATTATATAATTTGCTGAATGTCATAATATATATCATATCGTGAAGAGAATATCATGTACTGTATTGTATCATGAGATTAGTGTATTGCTACAGCCCTACATGATGCTAGTGAATGCTATGTGTTAGTTTTCTGCAAACAAAGTGGGGGTCATCTGTGCAGAGTCTCTTCCTAAAGCTGCCCCCCTGAAGAAACAAATCTAGGAGCCTTTTATAGTGTGCAGCTGGGTCCCATCATTGTCTGATTGGCTTGGTGAATTTCTGCTGGTCCAATGGGGTTGCTGCTCTTCAGCCTCCATCAGACAATCAGCAGTGTGCTCCCACACTTGAATCTGCATAAACAAAACATCTAAAGTGTAGATTAGGTGGTGTTATGGCCTCTGGCCAGGGGCCATAACAAACACCTAAGAGGTTTTGATTTAAAACCTTCCCCCATATTTCTATGGGTATACCGGGTAACCTACAGGTACACCATATAGCCTACAGGTAATTATTCTTATTGTTGGAGCTGTTTGTGTTGTGATGCAGATTAAAATTCAAGGTTTTTTTAAATTTGGTTCCACAGTTTTGTTTTTATTTGGGGTCAGGTCTCTCGATGACAGCATGTTTTACTTACTCTCTGTGTCCATGAATTATTCACCATGTAATCCATCGATCTGTTGCCCTACCATCTAACTGTAAACTATTTGGCTTATCTCAGAGTTTTGCTAATTTTGTCTCCATATTTTTCACTTTTTACTTTTTAGTCTCACCTCTAAAATGAAAATTGATTCTGTTTGTTCTTTTCATCTTGATATGAGCGTAAAACGCTAAACTTGCCAAGACATCAAAAACTTTCTAAGTAATAAGCTTCGGCCTGCAGGTTGGAGTGTGTGTGTGTTCTTCATTAATCAGCTGCATCCATCGCCTCCTGTTTTTGTGTTTCAGGGTCAAACTTGTGGCAGGTTATGTCTGTCGGAGGCGCCGTGGTTCAGGGAGGTTATGGCCACAGTAGCGTGTATGACCAGGCCGGTGGCTGTGTGTACATCCATGGGGGATACACGGCGCTGAGCAACAATAAATACGGCCTTGTGGACCACATGTACCGCTACGTCGTCTCCACCAGAACATGGTGAGAGAAAGAAGCACGGCTTTCTGACACTATGCTGACTTTGGAGTTAAATACATATTTTTACCTTTCTAAAAATTACCTTTCTAAAAAGTGTGTTTCGCCTTGCAAACACAGGCTTAAATGTTTCTGATCATCACACAAATTTCAATGTCAGACACAGATAACTTTAGTAAATACTAGAATTAACCAAAACTGGTACAATATTTCAAAATTTCAGGTCCCAATAGTTTGACAAAATCTATGGGTGCAGAAAAAATATATTGCATAGAGAATTGTAATTCCTTGTCCTGGGAAATGTGAATTGATTCAAAATGCTAAAAAAAAAGATTGTAGTAAGCTTAATTTTTTTGTTAAATTATATGTGAGCCTTTTCTATATTTCCATATATAGAAAAGGCTATATGTGAAAATTTAAGTTACAGAAATGTACAAATCTATTTTTGGTTAAATATAAATTAATTTGATACTGTATTGAATGTTATATAATTGTTAAAGAAATGTTTTATTTGATTACACTGTGTTTTCTTCTTATCAGTCACATAACTTAAACACTCTGTAGACCTTTTGAATGGAGAAATTGTTTTCTGAATTAAGAATTGATTCTGAATTGAATCATGAACCTAAAAATTAACATTGAAATTAATCACGAGACACTTAAAGATTCACATCTTTAATACCTATGTCATGCTAGTAGTTAACAGTATTATCAACATTGACTAGCAAGAAATGCTAAGCTAAAGATTCTCCCACATCAGCTGGGATCAAAGAAACATTTCATGTTTTATTTAATATCGTTTCCTTTTTCTTCTCAGTTAGTAATTTCTTCAGATTATATTGGGTGTTTACTTGAAACAGACGTAGGACAAAGTAAGATGGGATTTTAGAAGAACCAATAACGTCTCCACTGTTGTGATTTCTTAGCATAAAAAGCTGGAATTAGCAGAATGGGGCTCTACAGCATCAGTTTTTTTTTTTTAAAGAAAAGTCTCTTGTTTATATAGCCTACATACATACATCCCAAAATGGATATGTTAAAAATCTTCACTTTGAAAACTATTTTAAAAAATCCATATTTTATTTTCCTGTTTATTAAATGAAAATCTGTTTTTTTTTTAGTTTTGCTTTTAGAATATTTATATCAGTGGGTGTGTTTCTGAGTGTGTATTCTGTTACGGAGTGAAAGCTTCTTCAATCAAGATGGAAGCTTAGATGTATTTTTTAAATGAAAAAACAGCGACAACTGTTCGGTTCCCAGCAACCAAAATCAACAGAAGCAAGACAGTGACAAAAGACAGAGCCAGATCCTGTTAAGGATTCTTCAAAATAAGACTTCCTCTATCCAAATAAATCATGTCTCACATTTACATATGTTTCACTTAAGCTTTTGTAATTATATACAATCATGTTAAATTCAATTAATAATAATCATCATGTAAATTATGCTTAACATATAATTGTAAATCAGTCACTTATCACGCATATTATACTTAACAAATAAGTGTAAAGAAGTCACAACAACTGCCCTTTGAATTTCATTAAATAAGTCAGAACTTATCATGAACCAGCCTCCTGTTACTGCATTACAAGAACATTTTCCAAAGTCCGTCATCTCAAATGACACAAGGGAGCAGCATTTATTTCCTGTTGGAAAGTGAGAGCCACAGCAGGTTGCTTGGGTACAGCAATGCATTCATCGTGGTGACTTGTGAATGTGCTCAATGTGAAGGGAGCAAGACTAATGGAGCTGAGCTTCCTGTTTCAGTCATCCATCTGCTTAAAGTCACCTGAGGTCAAACCTCCTGTCTGACTCTCTTCTTCTACTGCTCTGATTCTCCTTTAAACAATTAGTTTATTCTGTTTTATGCTCCATGGGTCCTTAAAAAGTGTAGAATCTAAGATGAATAGTTTTAAATTTTGCATAAATTACTTAATTCTCTTTTGCATTACCTCAGTTCACTGAACCAACATTTCAATATTCTCATTCAGGGATTTCTGATAGGGAGCAGAATTTATTGTTTCATTAGAAATGGCAGATTATTCAAGTCCTAAAGCAGCAAAGCAGCCTCAGATCGTCAACCACCAACGTATCAAATCTCAGTTTGATATTTTTCTGAATTGTTAGTGTTACACTAAATGCAGTTAAGTGCATACCTTTCAAACAGCTCCAATTTGATTTCAATAATCAGATATCTTCCTTAAAGTCTTTGAGAATATTACAATGCTTTGTTTTTTATGGCAAATGTGAAACTGACTTTTGTGTTCCAGTGAAATTAAACAATAATAAATCAATAAAAAATATAAATTATGGTGGTTAATTCATGTTTTAACAATGGGGGTTACGACTCGTCATGTTTGTAAAGAGAAAGGGTCCAAATCTTGAACAAAAATGGTGGTAAAATGTAATATATCTTCCCAAGATGCATTTTCCTTGGAATATTTTAGTTATGCTCACGAAAAAAATCTAAGCAGAAAATCTGTGAATACTGAACCCTTCAATGCTGAGTTGGAAAAGGTCCCAAAATAGGGTATAACAATCAAATAAATATTTTTATTTTCAGAATTCATTAAAATACTTAATGACCAAGACAAATTAACTGAGATGCAGTGTTTATGTTCACATGTTTGAAATAGTTCTGTCTTGTGTACAAAAAGGAAAAAAGTAGCAACAAGATGGTGACAACAAAATGTCTTCCAGCTGAACCAGTTTATCAAAATGTTTACATTAGCACTTTTTTGTGACACAGAATACCAAAAATAGTTCCCAACAGCGAGTTAATTGAAAAAAATTGTATCTGTATCTATTTCTACAGATGTTTGATAATTTTTTTAAACCAACCAGCAATGAGATTGAGGAAATAATTCTGCAATTGGTTGAAGTAAAGTCAGGTTAGTAGTTGATTTTTTTAACTATATCCAAACATGTACTGTAAGCAGCCTGCTAAACTAATGCAGATAACTCTTCTGAAGGTGATGTGGGGCCAAACTGTCCTCAATCTGTCTAGAATGTGTTCAGACCAGTTTTAAGCAATTCTCATCTGTAATCATGCAGTACCAGACAGATCCCAATGTCAGCTTTGAAGGGAAATTAAGCCAAATGAAGAAAATGACTCCTAGCATCTCTTTAGTGAAGTTTGAAGACCTTGAAGACCCTCTAGCCAATTGGAAGACCTTTACCCAGCAGGACACTCAACAAATGCATTACAATGTAATATTACAATGTTTTTTCAGCAAATTTATCATCATTAAAGCTCATTAGCGTGTTCTCTGAGACATAGTTTCTAGATTGCAATGAGAGTGGCTGCAGTAACTTAAGAAGCCACAGTTGTCATCTACGTGACCCTAAATCTCAGAGAAGTCTCACACAGCAGAACGAGTCCTCCTTATGATACCTGTGAGTGTGTTTCTGAGTGTGTGTTCTCGGCTCCAATGACCGAACAGCTGGCACGAAGGGCAGTCACCGTAGGCCGGGTCACACAACCAGAGAGCTACCTCCAACAACATGCCATCGCGTCTGACACATATTCTTGACAAACTAGTACTCGCCATCTCCTGACTATAATCCCTCCTCTCTATGTGTGTGTGCAGGTTGATTCTCAGAGAAAGCAGGTTGCCACGGTACCTCCACTCGGCGGTGCTGTTGAGTGGCACAATGCTGGTGTTTGGAGGAAACACTCACAATGACACATCTCTAAGCAACGGAGCCAAGTGCTTTTCTACTGATTTCTTGGCATATGATATAGGTAAGAACAATTCCTGGAGGTATAATAAGTGGGATCTTTTCCCTCCTCAGTTTGCAGCTTCTGGGATGTCAGTTGCTGCAGTCTTTTTAAGCATGAACTGTCAGCATCTACAAGGACCAACACTCAGGGCGTGGGGGCACGGCGAGAATTACAGTGAAAGGTTTTCACACCCTTTGAAATTATTCACTTCTTTCACGTTATGGCCAGTGACTGCAAAGTATTTTACTGGGCTTTTGTCTGATGGACCAACACAGAGTGGTGCATATTTGTCAAGTGAAAGGAAAGAAAAAAGTTTTTTACAAGTAATTATCAAAACCGTCTGATGTGGATTTGTATTTAGTACCCCAGAGTCAGTTGGTAGTACCTTTGATCATACAGGCTGCAACTATTTTCACACCTTATAATCCATAGACTTGACTCAATTGGGGACCAATTTCTTTCATTTTCAGCTGATGCAGTTCTCTCTCACATGGCACTGTGTCAGACTATCCAAACCCCTTGAAAGACTTTTTCCCTTCCTTGTCTGTAGTGGCACTGTGCCTAGAAGCATTGAAAGAAAACCAGTAACACTTTATTTGAAGGGGTGTGCATAAGACTGGCATAACACTGTTAAAAACATGACATAACACCTGTCATGAACATAAAGAAGTCTTTATGAATGTTTATGACATTGTTTATGAATGACACTTCAGTTGTCATGAAGTTTCATCCGGTAAATAATGACACTTTTAATGCAAAGTTGCTCTAAAAGTTGCATTGAAAGTCCATTAAAAATGCCAACTTTGCATTAAATTATCATAATTTACAAAATCATGCAAGTTGGTACTTTTAATGGACGTTTAATGCAACTTTTAGAGCATCTTTGCATTAAAAGTGTCATTATTTACCGAATGACACTTCATGACAACTGTCTTATAAACATTCATAAAGACTTCTTTATGTTCATGACAGGTGTTAAGTCATGTTTATGACGGTGTCATGTCAGTCTTATGTACACCCCTTCAAATAAAGTGTTACCAGAAAACCTCTGAAGAAGACACTGAGCCTAACTATCTTCGTCACAAAATGTAAACAAAAATGGAGAGGCATCAGATTTTAGAGGTTGTAAGATTTCTCTTTTGTCTTTGGTAAAAGACCAAGTGCCAGCTTCAATATGTAAAAATCTGTGTTAGGATTTTTCAGAACAAAAACAATGTTTTTGTCACACATATTTCCTAGTTGAAATAATGTATAAAACAAAAGAGTTAGTTGAATTGCCCAAAGTGGTTCATAACAAATGAAATAAAAGTACTGTAGTGCAAATGAAATCCCTCGTAAAATAAAACAAACAAAAATACATTCAGACAGGACACACTGCAAATAAACAGAATGTGGGGGCTGGAGACCATGCAACTCAGGAATGGTATGGATGATTAAAGATCTCATTACGTAAAACCCAGTTGCATCATAGAGCAGATGGCAAGAGTGTTTGCACCTCTTCTCAAGACAGAGAAGAGAAAGACAAGGAAAACACTGGGAGAGAAAGAGAGGGATTATAGCATTTCTGTACATGAGCAAAGCAGCAGGGAACAGAGATCAACTCAAGAAAGATGAATGCTTATTTATTCAGAAAGTGGCCCAATACTGCAGAGTAAAAAATGTCTGAACACAACAGAACATGGAGGAGAATTCTTGCAATGCAGGAGATTTGTTATAAAATACATATTGAGTTAATATGCTGAAACTAGAGAGGGATTAATCAGATTTATGCCCAGTAATTGTGATCTCCTAACTTTTTCAAATGATGGTTTTAGTTGGTTATTTTAGTTTCCACTTAAGAGATCTGGTGTAGAGTCAAAGTGCAAATTCTACTGTTGTGGTCATAGTGAACCTTTGTTCTGCCCCAGTCACTAATACCAAGAAAAATCATAAGAACTGTTCCCCAAATTTGTTTTACTTGCTGTATCTCTATGGGTATCTCTATGTCTTGAGTTTGAAGGCCTCATTGGTATTGTCTCTAAGCGATAAATTTGTAGTCTTGTTGATGTTTCCTACACAGTAAAAGCCTTCCATTTTGTTCTTTCTCATACCCCTTAATCATACATCTTACCTGACACTTTTCTCCACCCATTCCAACCAGATTGAACACACTCCTTCACCGCTTTTCCACACTCTCCGTTGATCTGGACTTTTGACCTTCAGTACTTATGCTCTTCTACCTTCTTTTCTTCTACCAGTCTGCTGTTGTCCCTCTCATTTACATAATTGTATTCTGACTTGCTGCAAGCTGAAACTTTTTTTCCTCAGTTATAGTTCCACCTCTCAGTGCTGATCACAATGTCATCTGCAGACATCATAATCCAGATTCCTGTCTAACCTCATCTGTCAACCTGTCCATCATGAAAACAAACAAGAGGAGGCCTACATGCAGTTTCACCTTCAGCTTGAACTTCTCAGTCACTCCTACAGCACACCTCACTGCTGTCTCACATTCATGTCCTGCACCACTCTGATGTGCTTCTGTGTCACACCGGACCTTTTCAAGCAATATGCTTTCCCTAAAATTACAGACACCCTTACAGCAAAAAGTTGTGTCTGTAGCACTCTTCTACTTTGGCATTTGCTCACAAATGCTAACTTCTGACATTAGCCTGGCTTCCACTACTTTTTTCCTACAGCTTCATTGTAAGACTCATTTGCTTTATTCTTCTTTAATAAAGCTAATGAGTCTTCAGTCCATCTTCCTTGTTCTTGATAGTTGGCACCAGAACACTTTTTTCTTCCAGTTCTCGGGCATCTTCTCACTTTTCCAGATGTTGTCCAAAGGTCTACTGCCACCTCTCCTACGCACTTGTATTAAACCTACAGTACATGTTTTGGATTAAAAGTGTAAGTGTCACCACAGGTTGGAGGCCCGATTTAGTATTTTTTAATATGTAATTACCAATACTTAAACAAAAAAGCAGGTATTTTGTTGGTTTGCTTCTAAAAGAAATCTGTTTGCTTATGTGCACTGTTGTTTATTAGGTTGCTTGGACATGCTATGTATTTAAAAAGAACTAAGGAAAATATTTTTCTTTTCTGAGTTGAGTTGTTTTGCATATTTTTGAGGCAAGAGGAAGCTTCAACCACTGAACTCAAGTTGAATATCTCGAGATCAATAAAGTGGTATGGAGGACAGACAGAGCACTATTGTTAAATCTCCAACCAGAAGAAGACTCTGATATTATACATTGTAATATCTAATGACTCATTGTTGTTCTGAATCAGATGCTCACTTTTAGTTTTGTCTTCTATTTTTTTCTACTATTCTCTGCAACACATAACACAAAGTTCTGATTGTGAGGATGCAGATGAAATAAGGGAGTAAGAGTATTTGGGGGCAAGGGGTATATGTAGAGTTAGAAATAAAGAATAAATGAAGCAGGGATTTGGGGAGAGAAAAGAAAACACACTGCTGCAAAAGAGAATTGCCTTAAGACAATAAAGGTGAGGCAGGTAATAAGACTGTGAATAAAAAGCTAAATTAAAAGTGGTAAACATTACATAGCTTCACAGTCTTAAGGTTCTCAGATTCAATGGTGTTTTTTCTATTAGGGTTCACCGTAAATGTATGTCTTTATATGTCCAATGCTTTTGCATTAATGTCCTCAGTTTTTATAAATGTCATGAATTGTTAATTTGCAAGTGACACAAAGATATGCAAAGGGAAGATTTGTAGCAAGAAAACACACAAGAAAAGTTTAATTGATTTCAAACTTAATTTCAGTTGGAATAAAGAAAAAAATTGGCTCCATGCAGACTTTGTACAACCTTCATTACAGGGGTGGTGGCTGATGTCATGAAGTGAGCTAAAGACTAGGAGGCCCTTCCAACCTCAAACACCTGGAGCTCATCACTAAAGATAAATTGTCAGCAATTATTAAAATGCTTTACTGTAAAGCTGCCATTTTTTTTCATTGATTGTTTAGGAAGACATAACTATTTACTTGACACCTAAATTATTTTTGACACTTCTTTTACATTGTATTATCTACTGATTCATGTCTTACTTTCAATCATAAATAACTTTTTTTGGCTAAATAAAATAAATACAAATATTTACAAATCCATTTCTGTTTTTATTTCTGTCAGTGGTATGGATAATACATCTCACACTTCAAAAAGGGCACCAAGTGCTCATGGGGGCAAAGAAAAATCAGGCTTGTGAAAACTCATTTATAATAACATATTTAAATGAAAATGTGTAAAATATATTAATAGATATAATCTATACAAATGAAAAATATTAATTTCCTCCAGTCCAGTCTTAGAGAAACTGTGAGGTTCCTCTAAGCACCACACAGGGTAAAGGAGGTGTAATTTATTTTGCTGTTGTAGACAGAAAAAAGTAGCAAAGCATCATTTTCATGCAGACATTCACTACTGAGGCAAAACTTATCTGTATGAACAAATAAAAAACATCAGCTGTCCCGCACTCAGCTGTCAACCAATGTTCGCTCTTCTCCCCATCCACGGAGCCTTTCAAAATAAAACATTTCCAAAATATTTCACATTTTCATAACTCCAATTTTCAGTCTTACACTAACGTGAAAATGTTCTGCAGACTTTGAGGATTTTCTGATGTTAAGTTTGTCCTAGTTAGTTTTCCTTAGGAAAACAAAACCAGTCAGATCTTCTTGTGGTTTTTAGGGATTTGATCAAACAAGTACATGTAAAAACAGTACAATAATAAATCTTGTTCTAATAGCAGACCAAATAATGAATCCTAGTTGTGTTCTAGGATTCATTATTTGGGTCCTGGTATGATAATGTTCATTAATTCATTGTACTTTGTTTCTTCATTTTATTCCCCATCAATCTGTTGTCCAGCCTGAACTTCTGTTTTTACTCAGGGAGTCCTGTCATCTCGTGTGGTCTGACATTTTCACTCCCATGAGGCCGCCAGGAAGAAGAATAAAAGAAAAACTTGTATTGAATTCAGTGAAGTTCTTCTGAAGACCCTGTGCCCTCTGCACTATCTCTGCAGGACATGGTTAATTAGCTCAACCTGCAGAAGCTGCTTCCCACCATCCTTGCTATCGTCTTCATTTACTCTTACTTTCCCTCTGAGCCTTCCTGTGCATGCTGCAAGCGGTGGATCGGCGTGCTAATTTGTTTTTTGTTCTTTCGCTGCACTAACCTTGGAGGGGCAACATGATGTTATTAGCATCTCCTGCTCCTCCACTGTCACACATTAGATTCTGCTTGACATGGAAAGCACTTAAATCATTTGGATTTAATTCTCCCCTCTCTCTCTCTTCAGCTTCCACCCCTCCAACTCCCCCACAAGAACCCTGCTACCCTCACGCTTCTAATTAGATTTGGGGGGAAAATGAACTCTGATTAAAAAATATGGCCCTCTCCAACTTGACACCCACACACTGTTTGCTGCACACAAACAGCCACAAACTCAAATACTCTCTGAAAGCTTGTTTTTTAAGATGGCAACGGAGGGCGATGCTGTTTGGTTCTCCTCTTCTTCCTCCTCTTGGCTTTCTTTCATCAAGTCCCCTATTAGTGCAGATCAGATCAACCTGTCAATCAGAATCCCTGCCTGCCTGCTTCGATCTGGCCTGGCGATTATGCGCTCTGTCCCACCATGAATTATTAACAAAGATTTTCTCATATCCTGAGAGGAAATTAAAATCTTTGTTGAAAAGTGGGTTATAAATATCTGTGTGTGTGCATGTGCGTGCGTGTGTGTGTGTATGTGTGGGTGCGTGTGCGTGTGTGTATGTGTGTGGCTTATGAAATGTGTTTTAAGCCTTCAGTTTAGCAGCTTCACACCAAGTTCATGTTGGTAAAACTGGGGGTATCCAGTGCGACAAAAATGAAACTTGAAGATGAAATGTTACTGAAAGTTTTTAGTTGCAGATGCTGTCAGATGAGGTTTGGAATACATCTGAAACTTTCTAATGAGAGTGGGGTTTGGATTCACAAATGTAAATGTTTTTGGTTTTGATAATGGCAAAAATATTTGGAAGTAAATCCATGACATTTGATTCAGCTGGGAATCAGATGTCGCCTAAAAGTAATATTACAATAACCATTTCATTTATTGTGATTTCTGATGTGTATCATAATATTAGGCCTGTCACCATAATAGACTTCTCTGTTATGGTGGAAATATCACATAACACTACCTGTGGAAATGAAACAACTCTTCCTCAAATCAGCGGAGAGGTCGTACACCCTGCACCAAACAGCTCACCCTGGATCGCTCAGGGCGCCAAGCCAAAACCAAAGTCTCACACTGCAGATTCCATGAGACGACTAACGGGGAGATCCCCTCACCTGGACGAAACAGCGTGGCCGGCTCTGAGCCGAAACCCACCTTCAACTTCAACACCTGCTCTGCCAAAGAATAGCAAACAAGCAGCTGAAACCAAAACGGCCCCACTGACTCCGCTCCCAAGGACAACACGACCAACCCAAGCCTCAAAACATTCAGACTCCGTGGGAATCCCACTGAAAAACAGATTTTCTGCACTCCAGCCTGAGCCTTTGAGTGAAAACCCACCTTCAAACATCAGCAATGAGGCTAAACCAACGCATCCACCCCCCAAAGCTCCAAAGGACAAAGTGACCACCAGGAAAACAAAAGGTATGCAAAGAGTGCTTATTGTTGGAGATGAGACAGTAAATGGAATCAGTCATGTTTGCAATCCCAAGAAAACGAGACACTGTATCTGATTTGACTCGCAAAGTGCTCTCTCTAACCGCTGATCAGCCAAACATGGAGACTTTAGTTGTGCATGTTGGAGCCAACGATCTGGCAAAACAAAAATCGGAGATTCTGAAAAAGGACTTTAATATTCTTCTGGACACTATGGGAACATTAAAAATGAAGTTATTTCTCAGTGGTCCAATTCCATCACCTCAATGTGGAGACGAAAAACACTCCAGGCTGGGCATGATAAACAAATGGCTGATTAAAGCTCTACCAGCTCAGTGACCTTCATCGATAACCTCTGGATCTACTGGCAGCGCTTTCACCTCTTTGGAAGAGGAGGATGCAATCTTAACAAACATGGAATAAGGCTGCTCACTGCAAACATTTTTCATTTTATCAACAAGAACAACAATGTGATAATCGCTTCAGAAGAACAGGCTCAAGGATGTCTGACTAGGATGGAGCCCTTCTCTTATCAGAAGCAAAGTGTACCAAAACAAAGTGCTGGGGACAGAATGACTGGTTCCCCTCCTCCTTCCCCCCTCCCTCTCTGCTCCTACACTCACTCACAAGATCAGAGTTTCCCAGGAAGTCAATCACTAAAGAGAGCCGGGCTGCACCTGAGCCGTATGAAGATGCTGGTGGAGGACACGGGTCAGAAAGGAAGGCGGACGGACTCTTCCTCCTCCCAGCAGGCTGGAATAGATCAACAGGTTCGCCTCGGCACGACTCTCCCTAGCGTTAACATAGCAGACCTCACTTCATCTAAGCCACCTGCCTCTGACCTCCCTGAGGATCCAGCGCTCTGCGTCTCTGAGGTCTGAGACCGGGGTCCAGATATTATTTTTACAACCGTCTTCCACCAGAATGTGTCTGGCCCCCCGACATTTCATAGCAGGACATTACCTGTCCGGATCACTAGAGGAAAAGTTACAAAAAACAGAAATACAAAAAGCAGCGGTCTTAATTCAAACCTCAAACTGATCCCCTGCCTACAGGAACCTGAGACTGAAGAACTTTCAGCCTCCAAGTCACTTAAACTGACTCTTTTAAACCCCAGATCTCTATGTGCTAAAGCTCTATTAATTAATGATTTCATCACCGAGCGTAATATTGATGTTTTATTTCTGACTGAAACATGGCTGAATGACAATAATGAAGCAATCATACTAATTGACTCAGCGCCTCCTACATACAATTTTTTAAGTGAGAATAGAAAACACAAAAAAGGAGGAGGCGTGGCTTCAATATTTAAGAATACCATAAACTGTAGTAAAATCTCTTTGGGTAATTTTATGTCTTTTGAGCATCTTGGAATTGTGGTAAAAGGCCACAAAAGAACTTTGACACTAATTTTATACAAAACTCCAACATATGAGGAAGGTTTCTTTACGGACTTGAATGAACTTCTATCTCTTGTATGCATTGATTATGATTGTTTGATAATTGTCGGTGATTTCAACATTCATGTTGACAACCTGAAGACAGAGGGGCAAAAAAGCTCTGTAATATATTAGAGAGTTTTGGTTTAACACAACATGTCAAACAAGCAACACACACTCATGGACACACACTGGACCTAGTTATCGGTAAGGGTGTGAATATTTCCAATGTCTCTGTAACTGATGTCGCCTGTCGGATCACTTCCTGTTATCTTTGAATGTTCTTTATCCATTAACCCACTTGGACAAACAGCTACTATCACAAAACGTACTTTCACAGAAAACACAGCAGAAACATTTAATCAAATCTACTCTTCTTCCTCGTCCTTAAGCTATAATGACGTAGATAAGTTGGTAGATGATTTTCAGTGCAAACTTTCAGATATCATTGATTACATTGCCCCCATTAAAGTGAAAGTTGTGACTGGTAGGAAGAAATCTCCATGGAGAAATGCACAAGCAGTTCAATCTGCAAGACAACTCTGCCGTAGGGCCGAACGGAAATGGCGTAAAACTCAACTGCACGTTTATTATGACATCTACAAAGAAAGACTACGTAACTATCACACAACACTAAAACATGCAAG